AGAAGCTGATAGGCAGCCACCCCCACACACAGCCAGCCACCCAATAGCCTACCCCCACACCCCCTTCCTTTTCCTATCTTAGCCCCCACCCCACTCCTCTGACAGCCCCTTACCTTAATAGCTGCTGCTGAGGTCTCCATCAGGCCTTCGCAGCCACAGCGTGTAAAAAGGGAGACTGGCTGCCCTTTGCAGAGATGGCGGCTGTGGCTTCATTTAGGGTAGGGAAGTTGCAGCTGCTATCTTTGCAAAGGGCAGCCTGGATTCTCAAGCCAGGCGAAGGGAATCCAGACTGCCCTTTGCAAAGATGGTAGCTGCAGCTTCCCTACCCTAAATTAAGCTGCATCCGCCACCTTTACAAAGGGCAATGTCTCCATTTTTACATGTGTTGCTCCAAGGCCAGAAGACCTCGGCAGCAGCAATTAAGGTAAGAGGATGTAGATGGAGTGGCGTGGGGCCTAAGATAGGGAAAGGTATGGTATTGGGTGGCTGCCTTTCTGCCGCTCAGCTGATGGGCAGCCAGTAGGCAGAATGGTGTTTTTTTAAAAATAAAATATGAAGGACGAATAAAACGGATGGAGTGGCGTGGGGCCTAAGATAGGGAAAGGTATGGTATTGGGTGGCTGCCTTTCTGCTGCTCAGCTGATGGGTGGCCAATAGGCAGCATGGTGTTTTTTTAAAAAAATAAAATATGAAGGACGAATAAAACTGGTAAATATTTGTCCCTTCGCATTTGTGGGGGTCCCTGGAACCACAAATACGGATTGACATATATTTAATGAATCAGCTATATTCGTCAGACGTATATTTAATGAATCGGCTATATTAGTCAGAAAAAGCAATCCGTTTTTATATTTGTCCCCATCTCTATTAGAGACCATGACCCATGAACTTCTGTTGTTGCTTTAAGAGCATGTTGTCTGTCTGAACCTGTCAATTTGTCTCTCTCCTTTTATAAGACTCATAGACTTAAAAAAAAGAAAGAAAAAAGAAAAGGCAAAAGAGAGAGCCAGGTCTTCCTGCGGACTCTGGACCAGGTGTAGCAGGTTGACTTGTTCAACCTTTTGGCAGAGCAGCCGGTCACAGTTGTAGTTTTGGAACAGGTCACAATTGGTTGCTCTGGTGCCAAACTTGATGGAAACTGAAGCTGTGTTTCAGAAAAGTGATTTTTCCAACTGCCCTGTTCTACAGAAGATACGTATCATACCAGCCAGCATTTATTGTTCATCCCTTTTTAGACTGTTTTCTCTTCTCTTCTGCATCTGCTGGATCAGAATGGCAGTTTTTTTCCCCATTGGCAGCTTATCCTAAGCAGCTTCTTTACCAGACTGCACATTTTTCCACCATTTGATTTGTCTTTTCCATCAACACAGGCTTGGCCAGCAGGTCATGGAGGGAATCTGAGGAACATGGGAATGAGAAATCAGTTATATCCTTTGAATACTCAAGAGAAGGGGATGCATATGGTTTGGAGCAATAAGCTTTGAACTGCACATTAGTATAATTGCATGCAATTTGCCTATTAGGCAGCTTAATGTCTGGGATTACATTTTCTGTCTTTTGAACTTGTTTTTGCAAGCAAAGATCCTGTCTTTTCCAACTCGTAGACAAGGGCAATGAAATTGGATCTTGGTTTGCAAAATTGGCAAACTATTGTCTCTTAAGTCATTTCTCCCTTTGTTCTTTTTTTGAAGCTATATCTGAGATTCGTTAGATGAGGGTTGAGGAAGATATAGCAGAAGCCAAAGCATCTTACAGCAGAGGTCTTTTAATCATAAAGTGAACCAAGCAGAAGGCTAGCCTTGGGCCGGTGGGTGTGTACACCTATTTTATTGTGGCACTGTGCCAGCATCTCATTGCTGTAAGGAGAGGCTGGTTGATTCTGTGAAGGCTCGGTATTGCATCTCAACAATTCATGGGGTGTGTGTGTCAGTTTCCCAGGATTCTTTTTTTTTTTTTTTTTTTTTTTTGAAATGGCATAATTGGGTGAAGGGACTCAGAAGAGACCTGATGGCCGTTCTCAAGAGCTAATAGACTATAGCCCCAGCCTCAGTTGAGTTGGGAAGAAATTGCTGGGAGGTAGGTAGGTGGGGGAGAACCCCTCAGGCACTGTTCTCAATTTTCCCCACTTGGGACCTTAATTTGGGACTGAAGTAAAGTTTCCGTTCAGCAAATTTATTTTCTTGTATATTAGAAGTAGAGTGAATCTGAAGCCACTGGAGTAGCTAGAAACAGTAAACCAGACCTGCAGATAAATCTTTAATGGCAGTCTGTATATTTCAGTTGGCAGATCGCAACCAGTGGATCTTGTTTTCCTTGAAATACTTAGATGGTGTGAAAGAAAGTTGGACTTTCCTCCACCTTTCCAGTTGTGGTCTTTTTTGCTGCTCCCATCCCATGTCCAGACAACTGGAGTGAACAAGATGCTGTTAGAACTCTAGTGGACAGATACGGGAGGATGAACTTTGTGTGGCTGCTAAAGAATGAGAATCCTAGCCCAAATCTCTCATTTACTTGCACCTAACTCCCAACCTCCCACCCTCACAAAATACTTCATGCAGTGAGAGAAGGTTGAACAGGCTCTGACACTCAGGTCTCAGAGATGTATCTTTTAATTCAGTCTTCAGCAATCTGGTACCCTTCAGACATGTTAGACTACAACATCCTTCATCTGTAACCAGTGGTCCTGCTGCAGGGTGATGTGAATTGTAGTTCAGTGTTTCTGCTGGTGCTGGATTGAGGGAAGTCAGGTGTTCGTTGCTCCTGCCCCTCCCCCCGATTTTTTAGGAAGCTTAATAGGTATTGCAGAGCTTTTAATCAAGGATAGCAGATGCCCAACCATTTATTAACCAGTGTTTGTGGTATGTGCTCAATTGGTATTATGTCGTGATTGCAGCATTAAAAAAATTATGTATGTGGAGGAACTTAAATGTCACTGCCATTTAAGGAAGCATTGCTTTTTACTACAGATAGAAAATGCATTTTTGCTTTTGTTTCACATCTTAGCAATTGCATACATACTGTGCAATCTGGTGGATCTCTGGCAGTTCTTCCAGCTTTCCTGATTTTGGGGTTCTGTGTACCTGGGGTCAACTGCTTCCTGCATAAGATCATCTTAATAGGCAGTTTGTGCTGGTTTGTCCTTTGGCTCAGTGGTTCTTAACCTTGGGTTACTCAGGTGTTTTTGAACTGCAACTCCCAGAAACCCCAGCCAGCACAGTTGGTGGTGAAGGCTTCTGGGAGTTGCAGTCCAAAAACACCTGAGTAACCCAAGGTTAAGTACCACTGCTTTGGATGACCAGTTGTTTTGTGCTTCCCAGCCGTGCCTTCTCTGCCAGGCACCCAGAGGAGGCGGGGTAGGAAAGTCAGGGCACTGCTTCTGAGTGGGTGCCTGCTGGAGGAGGCAGGGCTGGGAAGTCATCGGACACCTGTTTGGCTGAATGATGAACTGGCGCAAACTGCCAGTTTGGTGGTTTGAGCCAATCTCTACATTTTATCTTTTCCTAATGACTTCTTCCCCATTGCTTTTGCTGCCACGGCCACTTTTAGGAGATCTTCCTGGAGTCCGCATAAAATATGTGACATTAATAATGCAGTAAGATGCCAGGCTAAGAATTACATTTCCATTTGGAAGTAGGCAGCTAGAATAACGCTTGTGTCCTGAAGTTACTTCTACATAGCTGCTTCCCTTTTTATCTGGCAGTGAACTAGAATGGCCTCAAAGCAGCTGGGAGAGAAGCTTGGCGAACCTGAAAAAAAAAAATAGGCTTTTCTTCTGTTTCAAGCTGATGTTTTGCGCGTATGACTCTTACGAGAAAGGGCCATGCTGGCTGAGTGGTGTGTTTTCTTTGCCTGCAGATTATCTCAGGTTTGGGTCACAGCATCTCCGAGTATAAACATCTCTTGGTTGGGAAAGCAACCATCGCCTGGAACCCTGGAAGGTGGTTGTGAATCAGAACAGGCAGTGTTTGACTAGGAAAGACTGGTGATCTGACCCAACCTAAGACAGCTTCAGATGCTTGCTAGCATGTATGATAAGGCAATAAAATGTTTGTGGGAAGGTAAATTGGGATAGATAAATTGATGAATGCTTGTTCCCTAAATTTCTCATTTCTGTGGCTGTAAGGTACTGTGGTGTGGTGGTGGCTGGAGCAATGTGCTAGGACTCAGGCGATTGGTGTTCAAATCTCTGCCTGGCCATGAAAAGTACTGATGGATAACAGTAATAAATATAATAATAATCATGTGCCCACAAGTCAATTCTGACTTACAACTTTTCGGGGCTTTCCAAGTAGATAATACTCAGAAGTGATTTACTATTCTCTTCTTCTGAAACTGCAGCTTGCCCAGGTTTGCACAGGAATGTAGCGGTGTCTATTCACAAGATACACAGTGACAGTCAAACCCCCAACCTCTGGATTCACATCTGGATACCTGAGCTATCCAGCCATCTGGCACCATTAAAACCACTCCTCAGTTGAAAATGCTGGTAGGGTCATTGTAAGTCCGATGTGAATCATGGCACAGGACACGTACCACACAAGATTGTTAGCCTTTGTTCCCATCAGCTTGTGAATGTGGCAGAACAAGCCACAAAAGAGCCTGAGCAACCTTGCAATGCAGTTTTATCTACATTTCCTCTAACATTTGCAGGTTGAATACATTTTTCCTAGTATGAGATGAGATATATTTTTGTGCACACTATTCCTTACAGCAATTGTATTTGTGCATACTTTGCTACAGATGAATGCCAACATTCTAAGAAATGTGAATTTCAGCACACAAATGTCTGTCATTCATTTATAGTTCTGAAGGACAAAATTTGGTTATGTTTGTAGGAAAATTGAGACCAGATGCCTTTCTCCTAAAGCTTTGTAAACACTGACTTCTGACACCTTATCTAAAACTGTCTTGAATATATACTGGTTAATAGCCTGTCCTCCCTTAAACCCTATTTTTATTGTTGATTCTCTCTTAACCAGAATGGTTTTGTATTTTTGCAGGCTGAATATATTGTTGGCTGGGATGAACCCCTTCTATTTCCATGCCGTGAATGTAGTCCTGCACTGCCTGGTTACGCTTGTCCTGATGTATACTTGCGACAAAGCTGTTTTCAAAGACAACCGCCTGGCCTTCGTCACAGCTGTCTTCTTTGCTGTTCATCCTATTCACACAGAGGCCGTAAGTATATACACAGCTGTATAAACTTTCCAGCTCCATGAAAGCAAAATATATTTCTGGTGACTGCAAATCTACCCTTTTGGTAGGATATAAATGTAGCATTGATTGACAGATTCAGGAGATCCCTCCACAAAAATTGGCCAAGAAGATCAGCAAAAAGAACACAGCTGCGTTTAGGACAAATAATTGATGTGGCACCAGGGAAACTAAGAATAAATGTTATTAAAACTTTCTGGTCACCATAAAACCCTAAGTATCGCTGAGTCAAGGAGGCTTGCTTAGAAGTATACCCCACTAGGGGAGGTGGCGGCGCTGCGGGTTAAACCGCAGAAGCCTCTGTGGTGCAAAGTCAGAAGACCAGCCGTCATAAGATCGAATCCACGCAATGGATTGAGCTTCTGTGGCTTGTCCCGGCTCCTGCCAACCTAGCAGTTCAAAAGCATGTAAAAATGCGAGTAGATAAATAGGTACCACCATGATGGGAAGGTAATGGCGTTCTGTGTCTAGTTGCACTGGCCACGTGACCACGGAAACTGTCTTTGGACAAACGCTGGCTCTACGGCTTGGAGACGGGGATGAGCACTGCGCCATAGAGTCAGACATGACTGGACTAAATGTCAAGGGGAACCTTTACCTTTACCCCACTGAGATTATAAGGACTTCCTTCCGCAAGTGTTTGTTTTCATGTAATGCGTATAATTCTGATTATGTGCCTTAAGCTACATTGCTAGGAATAAATGCAAGTGTTTTCACTGAAGAATAATGAGATCCTTGGCTATGGTGCCCCATTGAAAAAAAACAAAAAACCTTTGAGGTTTCTATCCTGCTGACACATTGTTTAGCTTCCCTTTCTTCATCTGGCATTTTCTCTCAGTCGCTTCCCTCGGAGCAGAAGGTGGAAGAGGAATCCCGCATTCAGTGAAGTCCTTCAATGGTGTTGTCTGTGGAGAGCACAATAAATAATGTAACATGGCACAGTTTGGATTGCGCACATGGCAATAAATTAGAAGAACTGAACACACCGATCAGTTAATCACTATGATCTGTTTATAACCGAATGAAGTGTTGATTTTAAAGACGACCTGGTGCCAGCATGTCATATCAAACCAACCACCCTCTAGCATTTATATAATCATTATTATGTCACACCAAGTCAGTTGAAACATCTGGCAAGCCTCCCAAAGTTTTCTAGGTGTGAGGTTCCTGGAAGTGGTTTATCAGTCCCTCTCCTTCTGGTGGCGCTCAGGCATCGTGCAGCATGCCTAAGGCCACACAGATGGCAGGGTTTATAATCTTATTGGTCACACACACAAACAGAAGGCACAGTGGAGAATTCTAATTCAGCTTCTGCCACTGGCAACCTGGTGCCTCATTCCGTTCATCCATACCAGCTCAGTATGTGTACAGAACTCTTTAAAGCCTGTTGGTCACACACACGAACAAAGTTACCTCAATGCCCCGTCTCCCAGAAGGCACAGTGGAGAATTCTAATTCAGCTTCTGCCACTGGCAACCTGGTGCCTCATTCCGTTCATCCATACCAGCTCAGTATGTGTACAGAACTCTTTAAAGGCTACAACGCTGTATGTGTTTGCTATAGGGGCATAGGATTTAGAGTGCTCATAGCATTTTGTAGACATATTGTTATCGTGTTAATATTAGAATGGGATTCCTAGTGTGGTGCAGTGGGTAGAGTGATCAGACTAGGACTCAGGAGGCCTGGGTTCAAATCCCCCTCAACCATGGAGACTCATTGGGGGTATAGAACTGGTAAAACCACTTTTTAAATATCTCACTTACCTGAAAAGCCTTATTAGGGTCCTTATAAGTTCGTTCCAACTTGATGGCATATAGAACACCAACAGATATTAAAATGGAATTTAAGAAGTCTAAGTTCAAGCCTTCATTGAGCTGTTAACCTTGGCTAAGTAGTCCTCCATACAGAGCACGACACCGTAGTCTTTCGAGACTGAAGGATGCCTAACCTAACCTAACCTGTATGTGTTTGCTATAGGTGCATAGTATTTAGAGTGCTCATAGCATTTTGTAGACCTATTGTTATTGTGTTAATATTAGACTGGGATTCCTAGTGTGGTGTAGTGGGTAGAGTGATCGGACTAGGACTCAGGAGGCCTGGGTTCAAATCCCCCTCAACCATGGAGACTCATTGGGGGTATAGAACTGGTAAAACCACTTTTTAAATATCTCACTTACCTGAAAAGCCTTATTAGGGTCCTTATAAGTTCGTTCCAACTTGATGGCATATAGAACACCAACAGATATTAAAATGGAATTTAAGAAGTCTAAGTTCAAGCCTTCATTGAGCTGTTAACCTTGGCTAAGTAACCCAGGGCAGATCACCCTCTTTCAGATGGACCTCTTACACAGAGTCATTATGAGATAAGAGGAAGCCAAAGGTACCATTTTGAGTCACTGGAAGAAAAACAATAACAACAACAGGGAAGGGCATTCGTATCAAGGGCATTCTTGATTTACAGCTGAATCTCTGAGCCATTACACTACAGTGGCTTAGTAACATTTGACCAAGAGTGTAACTTTCTAAATCCAGGCATGGAGGGGGTGTTAAATTTTAAGGCAATATGGTGCCTATTCATTCATTCGCAAATTTTTTAGAAGCTTGGGCCACTTGAAACATAAGGTTGATCTCTTTCAGGACAAGATCCTTAGGAAGATCTTTCCGTAAGCCCTGCAAAAAAAAGGATTTGTGCAGCTCCTTTATGTTTCTGTGAGACTTGTATGTACAAAAGAATTAGCTGGAGGCTGGTATTCTGATTCATCCAGTATGTTTCTAGCCTTTTAGAGAATGCCTTCCTGAATCAAGAAGACCAGTATTTGAGCCTAGTCAGATATGACCACATTTGTGAATGTGTCTGCAAATTGGTATGAACTCTAAATTGCCAAATACTTCTTTTGCAAAGGCTTTGTTTGCATTGGGGATGGATATCATGCAAATTGTGGATCACCTTTGTGGGCCCCAAAACAACCAGTGTTTTGTACAAAACAGTGGTTGTACAAAATGCTGGTAAGGCCACACCTGGAGTATTGTGCACAGTTCTGGTCGCCGCACATCAAAATGGACATAGTGGAACTGGAAAAGATGTAGAAGAGAGTGACTAAAATGTTGACTGAGCTGGGGCACCTCCCTTATGACGAAAGGCTACAGTGTTTGGGGCTCATTAGTCTAGAGAAAAGGTGCCGGGGGGGGGAAACGGGACAGGATTGAGATGTATAAAATTATGTAGGGGATGGATAAAGTGGATAGAGGAAAGCTTTCCCCCCTCACACGATACCAGAACCAGGGGACATCCACTCCAATTGAGTGTTGGGAGAGTGAGAACAGACCAGAGAAAATATTTCTTTACCTGGCGTGTTGTTAGTCTGTGGAATTCCTTGCCACAGGATGTGGTGATCACAGATGACCTAGATGCCTTTAAAAGGGGATTGGACAGATTTCCGGAGGAAAAGCCCATCACGGGTTACAAACCATGATGGGGATGTGCAATCTCCAGGCTTAGACGGAAGGTAGCTCAAAATGCCAGATGCAGAGGAGGGATATCGGGAGACACTGATCTAGTTGTCTCGTGTGCTCCCAGAGGCATCTGGTGGGGCCACTGTGAGATACAGGGAGCTGGACTAGATGGGCCCTTGGCCTGATCCAGCAGGGCTCTTCTTATGTTCTTATGTACTCCAGAAGCAAGCCCCTAGTGAGCATCTCCCTCCTTTTTTTGATTAAAAAAACCCTACAGCTTTCAGGGGCTTGGAGGCATCCCTGAATACGCCCCCCCCCAGATCACTGTAAAACTAGAAACCAAGAGGATATGCTTGGGAAGCTTCTGACCATCTCTAGGCCCAGTTGCAGCCCATGGCAAAATCTGAGTGCAAGAATTTGGCCCCTAGGCTGACTGAGATTGTCTATTTTTGTATTACATGTACAGTACATGGATTTGCCATGCTGGATATTTCTATTGGGTCTGTTAGGGAGAATACATATTGGGGCAGGCTGTCTGTGTTTACAAGTAGGACATTCAGTAAAATGTTGCAGTATTGCCATCTTTGTGGTTGGGGTTCCAACCCATTTAGATCAATACACCCTCTTGCCTAGATTCATAGTTTTACAGATCTTGAAGGGACCCAAGTATCAGGTTTAAAGATACCAAAAAATTACCTGATCTTCATGTCTTATTGGGAAGTAGACTTCAGAAGATTATAAATCCCATGATTCATGCAGACTTCACAAAATGTCTCCGCAAGGAAAAATTCGTTAGTTGTATAAACCTAGATAAATGCATTGCACGTTAAAAAAGCTTCCAAGGTCTTCTGAATATTTTTATATAAAATGTTGTCCCATTCTTGGCAGTAAAATAAGTTTTGTACTAAGCAGACACAAATCGTCTTGTCTCTTATTGAGCAAGTTCATTTATACCGAAAACATTTCAAAAAGTACTATTATGTCAAAAGTATAATGATAGAAAAATCTTAACCACTTATGTAAATGACTGTAGAGCCATTAGCCATAATATTAACTGTCACATAGCATAATTAGAAAATATAATGAATGTCTTACTCCATATGCCCAGCCGGTAATATGTTTTTGATGTATGAAAGTTCACATTGAAATATAACAGCCTTAAAGGAACCAGAACATTTTCGTTTCATTGTTTTGTTCTATTTTTGTCTGAATTTGATGTGTGATTCTCCTCCCAAATTTCCTTATTTCATTGAACTATATTTATAATCCTTTTTGCATAAAAATTCATCATCATTCTCTATTAGTTCTATCTTTTCATTTTCCAATAAGCTAGGTTAGTACAAGTTTAAAAAAATGTTGAAATCACTACGGTGTAATCAAATTAGTCTGAGCATTCATTAAAGTGCCTAAAATTTGATAGGAATTGCTAGAACCAGTTTCTAGAATACACCTTACAAAAGCAAGGACAGGTGATATCTTTATTAGACCACTAAAAAAATTGCTAGCTTTTG